AGAGGTTAACTGGGTTGTAACTGTAGGCAGATAGGTTGTAGCTAGAGGAGATGGTTGCTAGGATTGTGCCATTGGGGTATATATGTATTATTTCTGGTGAGCAGAGATTAGTCTCTCTCTGCTCCCTTATTGTCATGTCCTGAGCTGCTTTCCTGCCTCATGCCCTTCTGCCTTGATGTTCTGCCTTGCCTCCAGCACAGAGCAACAGAGTCAGCCATTGATGAACTGAGACCTTTGAAACCATGAGCCCTAAGTAAACTTTTCCTCCTCTAAATTGTTCTTGTCAGATCTTTTGGTCACAGCAGTGAAACATCTGACTAAAACAATGTGTGAGAAAATATTATTCTATGTATATAAAGTATGGAAATGTATATATGTACATATATGTATAGACAGACACACACACACACACACACACCTGGCACATAACCACATAGGTATATCTGTGGTATTAAAATTTCAGAAGGAGTTGAGAGACAATTAGGGGGAAAAAAACTAAAAGTGCTGTCTAATGGGACAGTAATTTATAATCAGTTGAGAAACACTGTGCTCAATGAAAGATACCAGCCACAAAAAGTGCATACTGTTTGATTTCTTTTTCTAGAAAAGACATAACTAATGTGAGAGAAAACAAATCCATGTAGGCCCTGGCCCAGGTCATGGGGAAAGAGATCCACTTCCAAGCAGGTGGAGAGGCTTATGAGGTTATAGAAATATTTTATGTCAGATTCGTTACCACCACAGTTACTTGACAACATTTGTTAAGTTACACACTTAAAATTGAGGGATTTGTTTGCATATACTTATACCTCAATACATTTTTTTAAAGTAATAATAACCTAACTCCAGGAAACCTCTATTTTTGTAAGCATGGAATACAACTTCAAAGAATCATGACGGGCTATTTCCTTAGGGGTTGCCTCATGGTAGACTTGACCTATGTGATGTGTCATCTCCACTTGCCTCTTATTTTTCTCTGTGGAAAAATAGTTCATCAAGTAGGAATTACCCTGCATTAAACTCTGAGTCAGAATGGCTGTGCCGCCATGATTTCTGCTCACCATTTCCTAATATTGGCCTACTCAGACTGACTTTTGAAAGAAGGGAGTAAAATCAATAGCACATCACTTAGATCCTCTTTTTTTATTGTAAACTGCTGCAATATCTCTCTTACATATATCAGAAACACATGTTAAATAATTGTCTCTGTGCTAAGACTACACTACATTGCCATATTTAATTTAACCCTCATGATATGCTTGTGAGTAGTGAAATGTATTATCATATGGAAATCTAGGTGATAAAACTGAGTCCTGGGCAGGATGCCATTTGACTAAGGTTTTCAGAGCCTGTCTGTCTGTCTGTCTGTCTGTCTGTCTCTCTCTCTCTCTCTCTCTCTCACACACACACACACACACACACACACACACACACACGATACACACATTCCAAAACATTATTGTATGTCATGAAGAAGCATTGTGAATATGCCAATTCCAAGTTTCTAAATGTTAACATAAGCAGGAGGGAAGGCCATCAAGAAACTGCTCTGCTTGCATGGCTGTCTGCCAACATCTCAACAGAGCAGCTCTTTCTGCCTCTTGGATTCCTAACTCTCCTACCCCTTTTACTTGTTTTTTAGCAGATCCCACAGGTTAGGTCAATCAAAATCATTCTCTTTCTTGCCTGCTTTTGTTACAGTTTTTTTTTTTTCAGCATTAGTGCTTGCATATGACTTCATTTATTGGTCTGTTGTTGGATTGCAAAACATGGAGGCAGGTGTCAGCCAAATGAGAATGTCAATGTGCAGAGAGATTAGATCGTTTGGCAAGATAGTAGTGAAATTGGTTACTCTGGGACAGCTATGGCATAATTCTTGTACGCATTAGTATATAGCCTAGATTTCAAATATTAAGATAACATATTAAATATAACTTCAATCAGACATTATATCAAATGTAAATAGAGTAAACAGTCCAAATAAAATACAAAGATTGTAGACTGAATTCAAGAATCAGGATCCAGCTATATGGCGTTTACAAAAGATATTTAAAATGTAAGAATCACAATAAAAGTGACAGATTCATTATAAAATGTCACCTTTATTTCTAATAGTGATTCTTCTTTAAGGCCTACTTTTATTAACATACTTGAGCCCTTTTTSTTTCATGTTCATACTTTACATATTTTTCCATCCTTCTAATAGCAGTATTTATGATTCTTACACTTAAAATGTGCCATTTGTAAACAAAAATTACTTATGCCTCTTCCCTTCAAATCCTACAAATTCAGATCACTTAACATCATTTATCCCACCACTCCATTTTATGGTTTTCATGCATATTAATTCTACATGTCTTTTAAACCCCATATTGACATTTAATCCACAGTCATGTATTTTTCCCWCTTAGTCCTTATTCATTGCTCTATTTCTTCCTGCATTTCTGTGTTTCCATCCAGGACAATTTTGAAGAACTYCATTCACTATTTCTTCTAATGCAAGTTAATTCTTTCAGGTTGTGTGTGTGTTTGTGAAAATGTTTTCATTTTATAT